GTGAAATTACATTATGTTTTCTATGGTTTACTGGTTCACGTAATGCTAAACATTCAATAACTAATGTAGCGTTACATTTGTACATTTCAAAGGACAATATAAGTGCGTCTGATTGTTTAAAAATATTTTAGACAAAGACAATGTTGAGGGGCAAAGAGTTCCTGTGTAACAGGTGGCTGTGAATAACGGGCAGTGTAGTGTAGATGTGGATGTGCATGTAGTATAATATGATGCTGATGACGGGCAGTGTAGTGTAGATGTAGATGTGCATGAAGTATAATATGATGCTGATGACGAGCAGTGTGGTGTTGATATGAGTGGCATGTTCTGTGCTGTTCACGTTGAAGTCTAGTTGTGTGGTGTGGATGTTAATGATGTCTAAAGCGGTGTAGACTCATGAGAGTAGATTGTGTTGTGGGTGTGTGCTAAAATGGAAGTTTTTAATTACTACATAAATGGCCCGTTGAGGGAGAAATACATCAGGTGCTAGATTGATTGTGTTGCCTTTTTTATCTATACTAAAACCAAAACCGAAAAGAACTTTCATCTCGACAAAGTCTAGAGAGTAATCGTGGTCTGTATCGCTATTCCAGTGAACTCCTTTTCTATTAACAAGGCTACTCCAATCACCGTTGACATTAACATAGTGATAATCTCTATACTACCAGCCATGTCTGTCTATCGCACAATTTTCGATGATCTGTCGTTATCAGAGTCAATGGTTGTAAATTTATTTTTGATAATATTTAAAATTTACTAAGTATAGGTTAAGGGAATAAATATTTGAACAACAAGAAAAAAAAAAGATAACACTCTTAATTATGAAAAATTCTTTAATATTGAACTTGCATATAAATGCATATATTTGTAATCACTGATGCTTGTACCAAATTAGTCAATGTTTATGTCACGTCATTTCCTAACCAAAAGTCGCCAGACGTCGAAGCGAATCCTTATTTATAACGCAATCTGCATCATTGTGCTATGAGCAATCTGGCGCCTACGTTAGTTTTAAGTAGCCAGAGGCCGTACTCGGCGCCTCTGCGGTAGTGAAATCAGGGGCTCCTGAGAGCGCCTATGTAAGTTTCTGACACACGGGATGTCACCCAAGTGTGTTCACCCTAATTATTTTGCTGAGTAATTAGCGTACTCTTAAGTGTTTCATGAGTAGTTGCAACCGTGTCCCGAGATTTATGATGCAAGCGCAGGCATTGTTTACATTTAGAAAACAAGCTCACGCGTCTAAGAACATAGGATTGGTAACGCATTGATGAAACCCTTCTTATATATTTCGTTAAACATTCTTCTATCCAGGGGCGGAACTACAGTGCCGCCACACCCCGCAATGCGGTGGGGGGGGGGGACTACGCCATTTAGGGGCCCATAGCCGACCATAAAAATGTATAGTTAAACAAAAATTTCTTGCATTTTTGACTTGACGGTAAAACAATAGCTAACACATGCTGTTGCGTAAAAAATATATATGCCTGAGCTGTAGTGTGAAAGGTAGGCAAACATTCAAAACACTTCCATGACTTATTTCCCTTTTTTAAATAGTTAAATAGGGGTGCTCATAAGTTCCTTTTAATATATTTGCACTAGGAAAATTAAAAGCAATTACTTCTCTTAATTATTATTTTAAAAAATACATACTAAAGAATGACATAGCATAAAAAGGAAACATACTTAAAACAAATAATTTAATACAAAAAACATAAAAATAAACATAACACGAGAAACCATTACACATACAAAGCTTTCACGTTTTATATGAGTTAAACCATCACAGTATGTAATAGTTGTTTCTTTTAAGAGAATAATATATTTTTAGATTTGAAAATAAAATAAAATATTTATGATTAATAATCTTCTAGAGATATAAGTTTTAAATATTTCCAAAAAAAAAATAAATAAAAAAATAAAATAAAATAATTATTATGGAACTTGAGAGCCGCATATTGATATCAAAAGAGCCGCATGCGGCTCGCGAGCCGCAGGTTGCCAACCCCTGGATTATACTAATAACACGTTTATGAATGTTTTTCTACGTAGTAATTTAAGTCTCCGGGTTTTACTTAGGAAAATGTTTTGTGCACTTTGTTCTGCACATCCAGTGCCCACTTCAATAAAATTTTCAACTGTGCTGGAATATAATGTTTAGTCAGCAATACTACCCCCTCCCCCCCCCCCCCCCATTCCACCTACCAATTTGTCGATTGTTTTGGGCTGCCCCAGACACGTATTTTGAAAACTAAAGTATCGATGTAAACACATTTTGCTTGATTAACTCTTATACAGCAGCTGTTACAAATTTAACGAAACCAACTCAAATGGTTTCGATTATGCCAATCATCACTGCTGGCAATACTAATTTTACCTTAAACCAAAATCGTTTAAAATCAGCTGTAAATGTTTAAAACTATAGATAGACGGCAGTTGTCATAATTTGTTAATACAAATATTTCTGTTAAACCAGTTTGTGTTTAAGTAACCTCTGGAATTGTATTGAAATAAACGAGTACATCTTGTAACCAAAACTATAAATCAATTCATACAAAGGTTCTAACATTTTCAACATTCGCTATTCCATGTATTCAATTTACATTTATTTCAATCTTATGCTAAACATTCAAAACATTAAAACATTAAATGTCATTCAAACTCGGGATCTACTTAGTATGGGTTTCCAATCACAAATAAATATTATTGTTCAAGGCATGTTAGTCATTAACACTCTTGACAGAAAATGTAGTGTTATATGAAACACAATTTAAAATGTCATTATGTTAGTGAGAATGTAGGACAGGTGCGATGAGCAGCGGACAAGCAAAACAAAACGTGGGGCACTCATGTAATTGAGTAATATAAACAATATAAACCAAGTACTTTACTGTGACATCTATTCTATGTCTATATCCCGAGTTGCCATCCCCCGTAGTGTTATATAAGAATATTCGAGACAGTTTAAGAGAGATCACTTCGCTCTATGTATATTACTATATTTATTTCTGAATAATTAACAGAGAACAAATAAATCATCGATTTCGACTGATCTTTGGTCTGATCACATTATCCCTTCATATGCTAAGATCACTAAAGCAGGTGAACTCTACTTCACCTGCCTTGTCTCCAGCCAAGTCCCATAGACAACTTTATCATTCATATTTTTAAAATGTAGACACGACGTGTCTCAAACCCGTACGATAACTATTATACTATCATCTCTGCCAGCTGGGCACTTACAATTTATTGCCTTAATTTAATTGGCATCGTATAATTAAGTTAAATTACGCGAATATTATTGAAAAATTTAATTATATTTTATGTTAGCCTACTCCATAGTTAAACACAAAAAAGATGCGTATAAAATAATTAATATATGAAATTAACACTGATAGAATTTTTTTTTCTAGTAGTTTAAGGTCAATAGATTTTAAAACTTAACGTTGATGAAACATTAATTTGTTTATCAAAACCCATTCCAATAACAATAAAAAAATAATTGGTTCCAGTTTTAATAAATTAATAGATCATGTGCTCATTTTTTAAAAACATCCTATTGTTAAAAAAGTAATTTCAACAGGTAAGTTATGAGGTCTTGTTTTGAGGTGTTTAGTACCATGGTTAAAAAAATAATTAACTCACACCTGTGACACAAGACTGGAAAATTATTGTTCGTACAAGATTACAATAAAATATTAATTACTTCACATGCCAAATGGGGATTTTTTTTACGCTTTTGGTAAAAACTTAAACGTCAGACATTAAAATCAGTTCGAAATAATTATTAGCCTTTCATAATATAAATATCTTTATACCTATACCAGCGTGCCCGTCCCCGCACGTTCCCGCTTGGTTTAAAAAATGTCTGAGGGAAAATCTTACTCAGCCTGGGCGCGTTCAGATGAGCCTGGTTCAGTTTAATGAATGACATCACAATGTTTAAAGCGAACGTATGCGCCATAGCGCTACCGGAATAGCACGGGATTGCAATATGTCGGGCGCTGGCAAATGCGTCTAATTCAATCTATTGAATAAATAAACGCCCCATCTTATTCATAGTCTATCCTAATACTACCGTAGGCGCCATTCTGTGTTCTGGATAACCCAGGGCGCAAAATTGCATCGCCGCTCGTGCGAAATTGAATTTTTCTTTCAAACCAACATGCCCAACAACTTCTTAAAGTTTCATGGCGATCGTATAAAAGTGTAGTAATGAATAAAAGACAGACAAATAAAAAAACAAATATACATACCTTTATATATATATATATATATATATATATATATATATATATATATATATATATATATATATATATATATATATATATATATATATATATATATATATATATATACATATATATATATATATATAATAGTAATGTGGCAGTGAGATGTTTTAATTTTTTTTCTTTTTTTTAACCACAAACTAGTAATTTTTAGTGACAGTTTACCTTTCAAAATTTGCATTAATAATATGTTCTCATCATCGGTTTTTGAGTGCTGATAGTGTGAAATGCGCGTATAACACCAGCTATTATAACTTTAAGATTATAACATAAACATGGTTTTAAACTTTATACATATGAGAATATATGTCTTTTAATAAAAATATTATGATAATTTTGAAGGCAAAAAAATCCGCACTGTTTGTTTTATTTTTCAATCACCAATGATGTCAGGACACATTATCTCAAACAAAATATTCCAGACAGAAAATCTTAAGGACAACTAATGCTTTCGTGGCAAAAATATTGATATGCATAATAGAAAATAACGTGTTCTCTTTTAGTCTCTTTTTATAATATAACTTCTGTTTTATTAAAAAGTCTTAAATATATAAAGCGACTAATTAAATCTACTAAATTAAATAACACTTCATAGAATATTACTCTAGATTGATTTTTTACAATTTTAAGTCTTGGGCCATATGCGGCCCGCAGGTCGAGCGAGACAAAACATACAAATCTAATAGATTATAAATCGGTAAGGCCAAGTGATAACCACGTCATTTGTCTCTGCGCTGTGTGACTACATCCATGGGGACTCTGAAAATGTATGCTGGAGCTTTTGCTCTCTATTTCTTTCTGGGTTCTGGTACGTTGTTCAACTTTTTGAAATAGTTAAAATAATAAAATAAATATAAATCGCGAAAACCTTGCAGCACAACTGGTCATACGTTTTAAATTTGTGCACCAATGCAAAGCAATCTAATCGTTCAGAGCTGTACTGTTGTTTTATACATCGACCATTGAGACAAACAGCTTAATTTAATACATATTTACGTATAATGTGGTAAAATACAAGACCGCCAACGCGATGGTCTCAGGTTCGAATCCGCAGTTCGTGTCCGTAGAACACACTAAGTCCCGGATAGTTGCGGCTGGGCATAGCGCTGACCACATTATCCTTTCATAAACCGAGGTCAGTAAAACAGGTGAACTCTACATCTCCTGCCAAACTGACTGTCAGGTTTTATATCGTATTTTACTTTACGTTTACTATACACCCTTAGTTGATAAACTTTAATTAGAACTTGAAAAAGTTGTGACTAGGAAGCAAAGATGTTGCGGTAGTATCGATTAAAAACTCTGCTGTAAGTATCTATATATATAATTCTCTACGTGGGACCCTGAGGGGCACCACCACCACGTAAGCACGCTGACACGCCCTTACCTCCTGGCATAAGTAAAAGATCATATCGCTACCACCGCCAACCCCACCAGTCTGGTGAGCTGTGACTCGCGCAAATGTTTTATTCGTAGAGCCGGATCAAAATAACGACGGCTATAGGGCTGGTAAGTAGGTCACCAACCAGGTCTACGGCTCAATAAAACCTGCATGAGCCAGATAACTGGTTGATGACCTACTTACCAGCCCTATTAGGGGCAGATTATTTAGTTTTTAAACGATTTGAAACTAAGGGGAGGTAACAATTTATGCTTGATCTTTTCATTGTCGTTTGTAAACTGTCGTCACGGACTGGTACTTTCATGGAGGCTGGAGACGGGGGAAAGAGGGGAATGGTGAGGATAATCGACCTGACGCTGTTTTAAATCAGAATATTTTCAATCGCAGCATTGGTAGTGTCGAATTCACAAATCATGAATTACTGAAATGTAGAAAATAAAATAACTAAATAGCGGCGTAGGATACACTGCGGGTCGGCTCGTGCACTTTAAAACCTATCTATTACATATGTAGGTGTGTTTGCCACAGACCAACCAAGCTTGTCTGACATTCTAATCAAACTTCAAGCTATGCAAGGAACTATAAATGAAAACCGAAACAAGCTTCAGTCAATCCCAAGCAAACTTCAAGATCTGAAAGAAACGCTCCAGGCAATACCAAGCAAATTTGAATATTTTACGGAAAGCCTGCAAGATAATCACATCAAGCTCGAAACTATAGAAGGAACTGTACAAGATAATCAAAACAGACTCCTGGCTATTCCAAACAAATTGCAAACGCTTCAAGAAACTGTACAAGACAATAAAAAGCTACTAGATGTGTTGGAGGTAAATTTAATTAATTTTAGTGTAATCTTTTTCTACTTTGCGGTTCTTAATTGTAACGTTGCTATTTCTTCAAACAAAAATATATGGATTGGCGTCAACATTTTATGCGCCATAGGGCGCCTACATTTTCTGTCTGGATTTTCTACCATGGCCTATGTTCTTCAGTGAAAAACCTACAATGCAGTAGTTATTTTACTGTAGGTTTTTTTCATAGATAAACTGCTGTACCCAGTTATCGAACCTCTTCTGTCCGGGGGGTTAACTCAAAAGTTTTCGGTTTAGCAACCATGAGATTTACTGGCCCGACCAATATCTGTTTTATGTGCCCAAAGCACTTGGGATAGATAAAGTAGAGCTTATCTGTTTCAATTACCTAAGAATGCTAATTTATATTGTGGTTAGTTCTACGCCCAGCCGACTTTTTTTACCTAACATTAGTTAGGTACCCATCAGAGCTGGATGGACTCACGGTCGTTCTACTGATGTCGGGTTAGCAGGCTAGCTCTCTGCCACTAGGCCAAGCCGTCTCATACCGGCCCGACAATTCCAACCCAACATGTGTAATCAATCGATTGGAGTTTGTCTAGTCTTGTGATCTAGTAGTATAACGCGCATTTGTTATCTACTAATTTAATTTGTTTTCCGAATACCATCCATAGACAAGGCCTTTCATGTAGAAACTAAGTTGTCTGCTACACTGTGAGACGCGACAAAACCCTTTCGAAACCCCCAGGTAAAGCACCTGGTGTATAGCCTATACTGATAGAAGAGCCCCCCTCCCTCCACTCATGAACAGACCACCTGCTGTATAGCCTATGCTGTTAGAAAAGAACCCCCTCTCCCCTTATGAACTGACCACCTGGTGTATAGCCTATACTGATAGAAGAGACCCCCCTCCCCTTATGAACAGACCACCTGGTGTATAGCCTTTACTGGGAGAAGAGGCAGAACCATATGAGACCCCCCCCCCATGAGTAGACCACGTGGTGTGATACACTAGGAGAGGGGTCGAACCCCGGGCACAACCTCCAGAAATAGATCACGCGGTGTAAAACAATTGGAGAGGGTCAAGCAGAATATTCCAGCCAGTTATGAACATGAAAAAAAAGCGAGCTTAATATAAATGTGATTTTATGTTTAACTATTGTGACCGAAATACACCATTTCTGAAATGCAAAACACGTTGATTTAGTAAATGCTGTATAGAGGGCATTCGCATTATGATCATTATAAAATGCACGACTCGTATCGTTGTACATTATGTAATAATTCAAAATAAAATGATTCTACTTTCGCAAAACTTACAAAACTTATACTATCGAAAAAGTATTAAGTCACCTGAAACGTTAGAATAATGCAAAATTAAAAAAAACCTTATAGACTAGTTTCAACTTTCGTTGTCAGTTAATTTATTTTATTGTCGCAGTAACTTGTAATCAACTAGCGCACCCGTCCCCCACACGTTGCCGCGGGGATAGAAGAAAGTCTGACGAAATATATTAGAAGGATATCACCAATGCATTACCAATCATATGTTCTTAGACGCGTGTCCTTCTTTTCTAAAACTGTGTTATTTAAATGTAAACAATGCCTGCGCTTGGATAATAATTATCGGGACACGGGTTTTCCTACACTACCGCATGAAAACCTTGAGTGTAGCCTACATTAATCACTCACCGAAATAATGAGGTAGAACACACTTCAGTGACCACCCATGTGTTAGGGACGTAGAGGGGTGCTCTCAGGAGCCCCCCACCCCCGATTACACTACCGCTTAGGCGCAGCGTACGGCCCCTGGCTCCTTAAAACTAACAGGCGCCATCGTGCTCATAGGATAACCCAGCTTGCCAATAGCATCCTGTAGACAATGATGCAGTTTTCGTCATTCGCTAAAGTAACACAAATAAACAGAATTTTTTTCTTTAACACTTAAAAACAATTATTTGACGTGTTTTAAACATCAGTGTGACTGATGCAATATGCTAGCGTTACTAATGGTCTATTATTGGATGCTCGATCTCAATTTCTGACTGGATCGTCTAATAATAGATGCTTATTTCATCATTCGTAAAGTGACAAAACTCTACAGTAGGCTCCTCATATTCAAAAAGTTATTTTTTCATCTTTCGCATGGTGACAACACTGTACAGGATTTCCTCGAGTTACAAAGTTATTTTTTAGAACGTTCGATTAACTAATGCCAAGTGCCAACATAGTCACTCTAAAACTCTGGGCGCCAAACAGTGTATTGACGAAAGTTGTACCCTATATGGCACCGCCCTTAAGAAACTTTAGTTTTCTTTTTTGCAGAAATATTCTCGGGCGTATTCTCATCTACTTCCTAAAGTTTCATGGCACTCGGATGAACCGCATCGGAGTTTTATTTTTTATTTACCGTGTATAGAGAAAGAAAATCGCTCCCCCCCCCTGAGAGCGCCGCCCTTGCAATATTAAACAATATTTTTTTGCAGAACCCTACTTTTGAGTGATCTAATCATCTCCCCAAAGTTTCGTGGTACACGGATGAACGGTGTGAAACCGTAAAGACTTTTATTTTCATAAACCGTATATAGAGAAAAAATCGCAGCCTCCCGTGGCGCCGCCCTTGCAAAATTTAAAAAGGATTTTTTTTTTACAGAACCCTTCCCTGAATTATTTCAATCAACTCCCCCAAAGTCTCATGGCTATCGGATAAAGGTGTTACACCAAAATCGACTTTTATTTTTATATACCTTATATAGAGAAAATCGCACCCTCTCGTGGCGCAGCCCTTGCGAAATTAAAAATGATTTTTTTACAGAACCTTCCCTAGAGTATTATAATGAACTCCCTAAAGTTTCATGCCTATCGGATGAACGGTGTCACTGCAATTCACTTTTATTATTTTTATATACCGTATACAGAGAAAATCGCACCCTCTTGTGGCGCCACCCTTGCGAAATTAAAAATGATTTTTTACAGAACCATTCCCTAGAGTTTTATAATTAACTCTCCAAAGTTTCATGCCTATCGGATGAACGGTGTCACTGCAATTCACTTTTATTATTTTTATATACCGTATATAGAGAAAAAAATCGGACCCCCCCCCCATGGCGCCGCCCTTGCGAAATTAGTAATGCGTTTGTTATAGAACCTTTTCCTAGAGTGGTATAATGAACTCCCCTAAGTCTTATGGCTATCGGGTGAACGATGCCAAAACAAAATCGACTTTTTTTTTATATACCTCATGTAGAGAAAAAACAAATCGCGCCCTGCCGGGGCGCCACCCCTGCGAATTTAAATTTTTTTTTCGCAGAAACCTCCCCAGGAATATTCTCAACAAATTCCCAGACAGACAGACAGACAGACACACAAACATACATTGCTTTTTATATATATACTAGCGTACCCGCCCCCGTGCGTTGCCGCGGGGATAGAAGAAAGTTTGACGAAGTATATTACGAAGTATTTCACCACGCATTACCAATCATATGTTCTTTGACGCGTGACCTTTTCTAAAAGGATCATAAATATCAGCACACGGGTTTACCTACATTACCGCATGAAAACCTTGAGTGTACATTAATCACTCACCGAAAATAATATGGTAGAACAGACTTCGGTTACCGCCCATGTGTCAGAGACGTAGATGCCTGCTCTCAGGAGCCCCCCCCCCCCCAATTACACTACCGCATAGGCGCGGCGTACGACCCCCCCCCCCCCCCCCGGCTTCTTAAAATAGCATCCTGTTAACAATGATGCAGATTGCATCATACACTAAAAGGACACAAATGAACAGGATTTGTTATTTAACACGTAAAAAAAAATTATTTGACGCGTTTTAAACATCAGTATGACTGATGCAATATGTTAGCGTACTAATGGTCTATTCTTAGATGCTCGATCTCAATTTCTGTTTTTATTATCAAAACATAGATGCTAATTTCATTATTCGCAAAGTGACGAAACTGTTTGGTTTTTTACGGACAAAAAGAAACATCCTAGTTAAGAATCTAGCCTTGGTTAATTTTTCTCAGCGGCCCATGTGAGCCTTTGGGGGCCGAAACAGACATTTTTATTTGCAGCCTAATCGCACCCTACCAGGGCGCCAGAGGACACGCCTGATTGAATTTAGTAAGCGCTTGTAACGCCCCATCCTGTCCATTGTCTATCACACTGTTTAGACCGAACGTATTCACCATAGCGTTAACCTGAAAGACCAGGGCGCCAAATCGCATCCTGCCGGGGGGGGGGGGGGCGCTGATGCAAAATTATATTCTCCACCCCCTATTTTCCCCTCCCACCCCAGAAACCTTCTCGGGAGTATTCATCAACTCCCTAAAGTTTTATGGCACCTGGATGAATTGCGCCGAAACGCAATCGTCTTTTATTTGTATATACCGTATATAGAGGAAAATCGCACTGTCCCGTGGCGCCGCCCTTGCGAAATTAAATATGATTGTTTTTACAGAACCCTTCCCCAGAGTGTTCTAATGAACTCCCCTAAGTTATGGCAATCGGATGAGCGCCGTTTAAACGGCAATCGACGTTTATTTCTAGATACCGTATATAGAGAAAATCGCACTCTCCTGTCACTGTGGCGCCGCCCTTGCGAAAATAAAAATGACTTTTTTTAAAGAACCCTTCCCTGGAGTGTTCTGATCAAGTCCTTGAAGTTTGATGATTATCGGATTAACTTTGTGAGACCGAAATCGGCTTTTATTTTTATAAACCTGATATAGAGAAAAAACAAATCGCGCCCTGCCGGGGCGCCACCCCTGCGAATTTGAAAATGTTTTTAGCGCAGAAACCTCCCCAGGAGTATTGTCAACATCTTCCCAAAGTTTCAAGGCGATCGCGTGAACGGTGTCACTGCAATTCACTTTTATTATTTTTATATACCATATATCGAGGAAAACCGCACCCTCCCGTGGCGCCTCCCTTGCGAAATTAAAAATTATTTTTATTTATTTTTAGAATGTTATTATGAACTCCCCAAAAGTCTCATGGCTATCAGATGAACGATGTCAAACCAAAATCGAAATTTTATTTTTATATACCGTATATAGAGAAAAACAAATCGCGCCCTGCCGAAACGCCACCCCTGCGAATTTGAATTTTTTTTTTCGCAGAAACCTCCCCAGGAGTATTCTGAACAACTTCCCAAAGTTTCACGGCGATGTGTTGAGAGGTGTAGTAATGCATAAAGGTCAAACACACAGACAGACAGACACACAGACATACATTGCTTTTTATAGATATAGACTAGCTGCAACCCGTGCTCCACCACGGTAAATCTTTTTGAAATGTACCAACTTGGGAACAGAACAGAAGAAAACTAAACACAACACAAACGAACGCAAAAACAAAACACAAACGAAAAAACAAACAGAACACTCATAACATAAACACATCTTAAATGCAATCATTAGGGCATATTGCTCACAGTCTAGCCCGTAGCGCCAAATCGCGCCCTTTCCGAGCGCCGACGGAAGCGTCTGACACAGTGAATGACTATAAAACAGAGGCGTATATATATATATATATATATATATATATATATATATATATATATATATATATATATATATATATATATATATATATATATATATATATATATGTTTAATTAAACGCAACCTCTCAACGTTCGTGCTCACAAAATCACTAAATTTCTTTTTTTTTTTCGTCATAATGGGGTTCTTGCACTTTTGGATAATTTGTCCATTTTTGTACTTTTAAAAGATTAATTAAATAAATAAATAAACCGGGAGTGATCTCCCCTAAACTTTCTCGAATATTCTTATATAAAATAACAGGGGATGGGAACTCGGGCTATAGACATGATTTTTAATCCATTTTAAATACTTAAAGTTTTAAAAATAGAATAAAATCTCGTAGACAAATTAATTGCACACCAAGTGAACGCCAAATAAAAAAGCGCATAATGGTGCGCAATATTATTATTACTTTTAAAATTTACATTAGTTTTTTGAGAAATCGGAAGTAGCGTAAAGTACTACTTCCAGACAACGGAAATGACTCAAAATTTGATAGAAGGTAGAGAATTAGATCTTTTACTTACAGATGAAATTTCATTGATCTATCTGAAATAGTACTCAAGTTATAGGCTTTTGAAAAATTCAAAGTAGGAAAAGTACCACTTCCGGTTATCGGAAATCGCTCAAAAGTTGATACGGATCTACGATTTTGATAAAATACTTATATATGAAATTTCATCAACCTAGCTGTAACGGTTCTCAAGTTATCGTGTTTACACACGGACAGACAGACACACAGACACACAGACACACAGACAGACACACAGACATACGGACAAGATTGCAAAATTATGTTTTTCCGTATCAGTGAGGTGTGAAACGTCGAGATTTGTAAAAATCTCGATTTTTTTTTTTTTGCACGATTACAAGACTTTCTCTATACTTCGTATATACGAGAAAGTAAAAAGCGTCGTTTAAATTACAGTTTTTATGATCATTTATTAAAAAAAAAGTTCTCTACGAACAGTTTAATATCCGTCAATATATTACATTTGGCCTCATCGAAAAGATGGATTTCTCATATATTTGATAATCATATTTTCCAGCATCTCAGCAACACACGTATCTTGAAATTGGCTTTAAAAATTACACAGATATGGTATTTTCGTGACACTTCGTTACTTATTGTTGCTTTTCTCAGTTCGCACTTTTTACTTTCTCGTATATACGAAGTATAGTGAAAGTCTTGTAATCGTGCAAAAAAAAAAAAAATCGAGATTTTTACAAATCTCGACGTTTTACACCTCACTGATACGGAAAAACATAATTTTGCAATCTTGTCCGTATGTCTGTGTGTCTGTCTGTGTGTCTGTCTGTCTGTCTGTCTGTCCGTGTGTAAACACGATAACTTGAGTACCGTTACAGCTAGGTTGATGAAATTTCATATATAAGTATTTTATCAAAATCGTAGATCCGTATCAACTTTTGAGCGATTTCCGATCTCCGGAAGTGGTACTTTTTCTACTTTGAATTTTTCAAAAGCCTTTAACTTGAGTACTATTTCAGATAGATAAATAAAATTTCACATGTAAGTAAAAGATCTAATTCTCTACCTTCTGTTAAATTTTGAGTAATTTCCGTTGACTGGAAGTAGTACTTTACGCTACTTCCAATTTCTCAAAAAACTCATGTAAATTTTAAAAGTACTAATAATATTGCGCACTATTATGCGCTTTTTTATTTGGCGTTCACTTGGTGTGCAATTAATTTGTCTACGAGATTTTATTCTATTTTTAAAACTTTAAGTATTTAAAATGGATTAAAAATCATGTCTATAGCCCGAGTTCCCATCCCTTGTTATTTTATATAAGAATATTCGAGAAAGTTTAGGGGAGATCACTCCCGGTTTATTTTATATTTAAAGTAAAAAAGAATAAGGCGACCAATTAAGTCAAATTAAATGTCACGACGCATTGTCTTCATGTCTTGACCCACGTACCAACTACGGACCGTAGAAGTGCCTGCAATTTCACACCGGGCATTTTGATATAGACAGACAGACAGCATAGTTTCTTCCAGGCATCCCCGAACGAAATTAAATGTATATAATTTATATAGAAAATATATACTTTTAACAGTGTCCGCCCTCCCCCCGATGAAAGTCTACCGCCCCCCCCCCCCCCCCGAAAATTTCAAGTGCCCTCCCCCCCCCCCCTCCCCCGAGAAAAAAGTCTGGCAGAAAAACTGACAGACAGACTGAGACGGACAGAGGAAGTGAGTTAAATTAAAGCTTGTAAAAACGCGATTTTTTAAGCCTGAATTGAGCTTAGACATATTTTTGTCTGGTTTGTTATCTCAGATGGGTTATACATTGCATTGAAGAAAAAGAAACTGAATAAAAAACGTTTCAATAACAAGATTTTATGTAATCTAAATACTACTAAAACTCAAGTTTGTTTAAATGTTTGAATATTTATTTGCTTGTTTGTTTGTCTGATTGACTTAAGGAGAGAATCTGCACTATCTGCTTGTTTGTTTGTTTAGCTATGGAATTGGCTAATTTAAGATAAAATTTAATTTGAAAGTTACTAGACTTAGATCTAGATCTAGATATGGCTTATGCGCGTAAATCAAGGCGCATAAGGAGACTCAAAGTAATAAACTATACCATAAAAAAACATCGGGACTTCACGAGTCTAAATAGCTAAGTTGTTGGAGTATATGCTTTCATGCGGGTGGCACGGGTTCTAAACACTTCACGTCAATGTTAAAATTTAATTTTTCAATATTTTTTTTCGATGTGAATGATAAAGTTGCCTATCTAAACTTGGCGGGATACAAGGCTGGTGAAGTAGAGTTCATCTGTTTCTTTGTCCTAAGCATATGAAGGGATAGTGTGGTCAGAGACATGCTCGGCCGGTATAGTTTTTTTTTAAACAATAAAAACATGTTGTCTGAAACTTGGCGGGATACTGGGACGGTGAAATAGAGTTGGGTAGGTCACCTGTGACGTCAGTATATGAAGGGATAGTGTGGTCAGACCAATGCTCAGCCGAAATCGGTGATTTTTAAAAATAAAAAAAACGTCTTTTTGAATGTGGGGTCTGGTTTTTTGTGACGATAAGTGACAGACGTGATGTATTTTATGGATGACCCCCGAAACCCATAGTTATCCAATAGATAACGGGTAAGTCTAGTAATGCAATAAAAAGTAGAAAATAAATTATACACTGCTATTTAAATTACTATAAAGAAAATTTAAATTAATTGATAAAAATTAATCAGGCGACCAATTAAGTCAAATTTATTGTCACGATGCATTGTTTTCATGTTTTGACCCACGTACCAATTACGAACCGTATCTGTCAGTTAGAAGTGCCAGCAATTATGCTCGGCCGTTTCGATCTAAACAGACAGACAGAGGAAGTGAGTTAAATAAAAGCTTGTAATAAATAGATTAAACTACTCAGGAAATAGATTATTTAAAATTTTGTGAAGCATGCTACTAATATATATATATATATATATATATATATATATATATATATATATATATATATATATTTATATATATATAAATTGTCCTATTCTATTTCAGATGCTAACTCCCATTCCAATCGAAACTTGTAAAGTTAATATGGACAGACCTCTTTTTAGAAAATACTACCATATCCATGGTGAAAAACTGGCTTTGTGTGATACAGAAACTGACGGTGGAGGATGGGTTGTTATTCAGGTTTAGTTTTTTTAGAATTTTTTTTAATATACTACACAAATGACCCGTTGAGGGAGAAATACAGTAACCAAAACCAAATAATCACAACAACTTCAAATTTAATCGGAAACGAAAAATGTCATTGGAAAAGGAATATTATCCAGAATGGACATTTTACTGGATTTAACCATGACCTACAGATAGCTACTGCACTTTCATACTAACTATAGTCGGGAGTCATACCCCTAAACCTTGCAGTTTATCTCAAGCCTGAAATAAATTTAGAGTTTCTTTCAGGCAACTCTTCGGGGAGAGGGGGTGAGGGGCTCAGCTCCCAGAAGAAGGTCTACCGCCCCCAATAACGAAACAGAAAAAATTCTGAAAGAAACTTTGGTCGCATTTGTAGATTATACAGTCTACAGGTACTTCTATACTCTAGACCAGTTTCCTACCTTTGGCCACTAAACATACGTGATACAGAGAGTGTTTCTGTCAGACTCTTTGGTGGGGGGGGGGGGGGAGGGAGGGCCGGAGTTTATTCTCCAAGGAGGGGGCGGGGTGAATTGGTAAAAGCATATTCTTTTACATAAATCGTATCCTGTTTGGGAATGTGGGGGGGGGGGGGGGGGGTAGGGGGCAAGCGGTAGAGGTTATTCAGCGGAGGGAAAGGGAAATTGTAATTTAAAAAATGCGTTGCCGCGTTCTCAAAAGAAAGTCTTAAACAACATTTTAAGATGGTTTTGTAATGCATTACCAATCCTATATTCTTAGAAATGTTTCTATTGCGAACAGGATTCACAGTTTTCAAATTCTGAAACTTGTTTTAAAGATTTTTGATAGAGAAATGTACATATAAAATATATCTACATCACTGAAACTGTACAAAGTTGATTAAAGTACTACTTTAGGGTATCGGAAATCAAATTATAATTACATGGTATAATTACGTTTGGGATCAATACATAATATAAATCACACATCCTTTTGGAAAAAATGTAAAAACTGTAAGTAAACATTTTGGTTAACGGAACTCGCTCAAAATTAAAAACATAAAACTCAAGTATATTAGCTAATATTTATACACACATTTCGTCGATAGAACCTACGGCGCATATGACTTTTGATGAACTCAAGGGCGCTGAACCAAGCGTTCATGGTACCGCACATCCTTTAACAAAAAAACTGAAGTCATTGCACACATCCTAATATATAAAAGCCCATGTGCGCACTTCTCTCTCTCTCTCTCTCTCTCTCTGTCTGTACGCAAAATATTTTCGCCGGATATCACGTCAGAATCGGCAGCGATATATGGATACCTTTATACGGACTTTTGTTGAAAAATATATGTTAGGTTTTTTAAATGTATAACCACAATTTTATTTAAAGATGAAAAATCAAAAATAAAGACGTATTCGAATGTAGAGAAACCGTTTGAATTATGCAACAAGAAAAGCGTTTATAGTTGTAAAAAAGAAGGCATAAAACAGTGACGTCACTAATGTTTATACATTAACTAATGACGTCATCTGCCGTGTTTAGAATAAAAAAAAATGAAATATTTCATTCAAATTTGATTTAGATCTACGTACGATATAAAATTTATACAATACAATTTTGCTCGGGATTAACTTAAAAAAAATTCTATTAGGATTCTAGATCTAGATATTCTAGATCATCTAGATCTAGATATTCTAGATCATCAAGATCTATAGATTCTAGATCATCTAGATCTAGAGATTCTAGATCTAGATGATCTAGAATCTATTCAAATAATACATTTCTATACTAAAGTATTTCAGGCCTTAATTACTTTATTAAAATCTTTGTTTATCTATGCACTTTGCTAATCTCTATCTATATATATAAAGCAAAGTGGTCATCTGCCCGATAGGGCACTTCCCGGCGCCGCAGGCGCGTCAAATTTGGCACGATGGTTCCTCGGGGCGATAGAACACGAGGGCCGTTGACGGTTTGCCAAAAAGTCTACGGGGAGGGGGTCAAAACTGACCTCGACTGACCGGCGCCTTATATGGGCTATATTATGAAAAAAAAATTTCCTCCGACGACCCCCTTGAAATTTTGTGAGGTGGTAGGAGAACGCCTTGGGGTGTCACAAAAAACTCGGCATATCTGGGAAAACTTCGTAAAGGGGTCAAAACTGACCAGTTGTATTTCCCAATATAATCTTTGTATTTTATGGAAAAAATAGAGGGTCATTTCAACGCAGACTTTAGGGTACTTAAACTCAGTATATCTGGCTATATTTTTGCATACTTTTAAGTCAATGGCTTGACCTTTAGGGAAAACTGTCGGTTTGACTCAAAGCCCTCGACGATGGCTAAAAAGTGACCGCGAGTGAAATTCTCTTTATATGAGCTCTATTACGAAAAAAAATTTCCTCCGACGACCCCCTTGAAATTTTGTGAGGTGGTAGGAGAACGCCTTGGGGTGTCACAAAAAACTCGCCATGTCCGGGAAAAATCGGGAAATTAGTCAAAGCTGACCAGTCGTATTTCGCTATACAATCTTTGAATTTTATGTGAAAAACAGAGGGTCATTTCAACGCAGACTTTAGGGTACTTAAACTCAGTATATCGTGCTAATTTTTGCATACTCTTTGGTCAATGGCGTGACCTTTAGGGAAAACTGTCGGTTTGACTCAAAGCCCTCGACGAGGGCTAAAATGTGACCGCGAGTGAAATTTTCTTTATATGAGCTCTATTACGAAAAAAATTTCCTCTGACGACCCCCCTTGATATTTTGTGAAGTGGTAGGAGAACGCCTGGGGGTGTCACAAAAAACTCGTCATATTTGGGAAAACTTCGTAAAGGGGTCAAAACTGACCAGTTGTATTTCCCTATATTATCTTTGTATTTTATGGGGAAAACAGAGGGTCATTTGAAAACGGCATTTAGGGCACTTACCCTCTTTACATCTGGCTAATTTTTGCATACTCTTAGGGCAATGGCTTGACCATGAGAGAAAACTGTCGGTTTTACTCAAAGCACTCGACGAGGGCTAAAAAGTGACCGCGAGTGAAATTCTCTTTATATGAGCTCTATTACGAAAAAAAAATTTCCTCCGACGACCCCCCTTAAAATTTTGTGACGTGGTAGGAGAACGCCTTGGTGTGTCACAAAAAACTCGGCATATCTAGGAAAACTTCGTAAAGGGGTCAAAACTGACCAGTTGTATTTCCCTATATAATCTTTATATTTTATGGGGAAAATAGGGTAATAAATTATACACTACTATTTAAATTACTATAAAGAAAAGCGTGTGTCTCTTCTCAAATATTAGTAAAGGTATCCAATAGGTACTAAAGTACTAAAGTGACCCACGCTTTTCTTTATAGTAATTTAAATAGTAGTGTATAATTTATTTTCTACTTTTTAGTGCATTATTACATAAAAGCTTGTTATTAAAACGTTTTTTATGAATTTTTTTTAAATATTTGTATACTCTTTTTAAGAAAAAACAAAAATCATAAAGTATAGCATTGTTTTAAATGAATATTTTGTTATAAATTAAGTTTTGTATTGTATTGAAATTGTAAAATTAATTGCAAAAGTAATTTAATATAATATTTGATTGATAATTTTTATGAAAGCCCTTTCAGTTCTAATAACCTTGCGAGTAATAAGTTTGCGAAAATTCCATCAATTTATGGGTACAAAAAAAGTACCTCATTGTATAAATTTAGGACCTAAGCATTTAACATAACAGCCAATCACCTGTTTAATTAATCATTCAATTTCTCAACGTTTTTGAAAACCTAAGCTAAGCTAGGCAGTATGCCTAGTAATATATAAAGCAGGCGCTTCAAATTTGTTAGGATCTTGCCTTGGGGCGACAGAACACGGGGGCCGGTTGGCCGAAAAGTCGACGATGAGGGGCTCAAAACTGACCTCGACTGACCGGCGCCTTATATGAGCTATAAATCGAAAAACAATGTCCACGTATGAACCTCTTCATAACTCAAGAGGTCGTAGACCGACCCTTGGGCAAATTAATTAAGCATTCAAATTCTCATTAGCATGCCTAATGTTGATAGAAAAGTGGAAATACAAAAAATTATTGCACAGATTTTACATTTCAGAGACGCATAAAGGGAGACGTTTTATTTAATAGAACCTGGGAAGAATATAAGCAAGGATTTGGTTCCGTCGAAGGGGACTTTTGGATAGGAAATGAAAAAATCTCAAGTTTGACTATGATGGTGAGTATGTCATCAAATGTTGGCGAGGCTACATCAACAGTATTCGAAACAAAACCATGGACACAGTTGTTTGACTTGGCCAACAAACATCTATGATCTATGAAACATAAATTTTAAACCTTTGTAATAACATATTTTTAAATTAATTCATAAAACAAACTTGCTTTCTTAAATAGAATATTTGGTCGCTCATTTTTTGTGTCGCTGATAACTTATTTTAACAACTATATGTTTTATTAAGTAAAGCAAATTTAATTTATTTTCTTATTTTCACTGCATTTGAAAGCTTGTTATTATAAAGGTTTTATATTGTAATTTCCACTGTTTAGTAATTCTTTCTAAATTAAGTTTGCAATATATCTATGTAAGCTAACACTAAAAATATTAGCGTTAAAATCGTACTGGCGATCTCTATAAGAACGATATGTGCCCATCTACTTGATCAAAAAGAAATCAGCACGATCACTGGTATTTAATCTTTTTAGCTCCCTTTTATTATTCAACATAGTATTATTAATTAAATTTTAACTAACCTCCAATTAAATTGTCATAGAAGAAGAACATACATAGATAAGTGGAAGCAATCGCTATACTAAACATGGTCGGCGTGGTCGAGTCGGTAAAGCTCATGGTTGCTAAACCGAAAAGTCTCGAGTTCGAACCCTCGGGCCACTCTTCTAGGAGAGACAACTTCAAAATTAAACAACTACTGCCTTGTAGTTTGTTCTTGGTTGGGCAAAGGCTATGGAATCAAATCCTAAAAGATTCGGTAATAACAAAAGAACACTTAAATAAAACATTTTTAATATCTTTGTCTGACGTTGTAATAATCTGTTTAAATTCCGGCTAACAAAGAAAATACAGCTCAGATTGAGCTTATCACTCGAGATGCCGGACTTTTTAATGAAAATATCTCTCATCAAACCTTCTGACTAAATTAAAATATTTGTATTGAAGATATAAATTAACCGGAAGTGATCTCCCCTAAACTTTCTCGAATCTTCTCATATAACACTACGGAGGATGGCAACTCGGGTTATAGACATTATTTTTAATCTATTTTTAATTACTTAAACATTTTAAAATAGAATAGAATCTAGAAGAAAAAAGAAAAAAGAATTGTGCACCAAGTGAACTGCAAAATATTGCGGAATATGATTAGTACTTTATAAATTCAAATGCTTTTTTTTTTGAGAAATCAGAAATAGAGAAAATTACTACTAAAACTACTGCTTTTTGCCTTCTCAGTTTATGGATATATATATATATATATATATATATATATATATATATATATATATATATATATATATATATATATATATATATATATATATATATATATACTTTTTTCCCCTTTTTGTGTGTATAATATAATTATTATAAACTATAATATTACTCTATATTATTGTAACAGTAAACCCATAATGACAAAATGTTCAAGTTTATACTCGTTAATATTTTGTAATAAAAATAATGATCGTTTTACAGGGCTACAATGAACTTAGGTTTGACATGAAATATAAAGGTGCATCTTACTACATGATATACAGTAATGTGAAGGTGGGAAATGAAGCAGATTTGTATAGAATAATGTTTACATTCAAGACAGGCAACGCTAAAGACAACTTTAGTCGTCATAATGGAATAGCTTTTTCCACATTTGATAGAGACAATGATGCATTTCCTGAAGGCCATTGCGCCCGGGATTTGAAGAGCGGCTGGTGGTTCAAAATGTGCCTTCATGTTAACATGAACGGCGTGTGGGCAAGTAAAGTCTTTGGTCAAGGAATTAGCTGGGGAGATATAACAGACTACAATGATTCTCTGGAATACGTCGAAATGAAACTACGTCGACTTTGAACTTTAAAGATTAAACCTAAGAGCTCTATTCACATCTGTGGCATTTCTTTACTAATGTTTGAAAATTGAAAGAAATATTACCTAATTGTATTCCTTCTATGTTTTAAGATCATTAAAAGCTGATCAACGATTCTTGTTGTCTGAGCTTTTTTTTTTTATTTTATGTCGAGATAAATGAATGAGAATTGATAAATTGATAGACGGAAACAAAAATACTTCCCATTAAACAATTCAATTTCAACAATTTTATTGACTTTTACTATACTATTTTGCTGAATTCTAATTTTTCACTAATTTCTTGGTAATGATTTATCTTTCAATGTTAACTGCCCTACACACACACACACACTTACACACACACACACACACACACACACACACACACACACACACACACACACACATGGTATCGATTCGCGGATAAATTAAAAAAAAACACAATTTCTGCTCGGGTTTATGATAATCAACTGGATTAATTAAATCTCAATCAATATTTGCAGACTAACGTTTTCATTTGAAAAACGTCGGTTGAGATATAAAAAGTTTACAAAAAGCTAAACTAAGTACAATCGTTTAAAAGGAAGCGAAACTGACCTACTTTCATGAATACCTGTATTAAATTGCCGATTTCTTATTGATTTCGTCAGTAATCGTTGTTTATTTTCATTTTCCGTCCGAGAAATAAATATATAGCAATATTTTAGAGAAACGAAAATTAACAAATCTATAATCTGATGGTAGGAAATGGATATAATTTTCAACGCCATGAGAGATTATTTACGTGAGGATTCTGGATATCTTTGTAAATTTTTGAAACTGCGAACAAGTTCTAGTTTAGTGAGAGTTTTGTACTTTAACAGGATGTCAGGGAACTATTTGCTATAATTTAACATCGAAACTGACGGGTTGAATATAATTTATTGTAAGCAGTCATTGAGGTAAAGCCCTTAGTTGTATTATACCACATCGCCCTCACACATAGGTCTACATCAAGTGACCAGAGGTGTTTTTTTGTGTACGTTTCGAGTACATTCACAAGACAATAGATGCAATAAAATAGGGTCCGGTATTTGCAGGAATATAGGGTCCTGTAGATGCAATAAAACATAGTCCGGTAAATCCAAGAATATAGGGTCCGGTAGATGCAATAAAACAGGGTCCGTTAAATCCAAGAATATAGGGTCCGGTAGATGCAATAAAACAGGGTCCGGTAAATCCAGGAATATAGGGTCCGGTAGATGCAATAAAACAGGGTCCGATAAATCCAGGAATATATGGTCGGGTAGATGCAATGAAACAGGATCCGGTAAATCCAGGAATATAGGGTCCGGTAGATGCAATAAAACAGGGTCCTGTTCAGGGGCGGAACTACAGTGCCGCCAGACCCCGCAATGCGAGGGGGGGGGGGGCAGACCGATTGGGGGCCCAAAAATCCTGTCTAAATAATTAAAAAAAATTTAAAAAAAAAATAGGTGGAGGTCGAGTTATCTTTCTTCTACTGTTACAAACAAACACGATAGTCGGCAAACGTCTTTGAGAAAAATGCACAGACTATAGCTCGAGAGACCGCCAGACATATAGACAACTTCAAAGACGTAGCCTACCGTTCTTTTTTAGTGGCGTCGATTAGGAGAACAAAAAAGCATTGTTATATTGCTTACATTATTAAATACATATATATGATTGTGTGTTTAAACTACTGGCCTGAACTTTACAAAAAAATATAATTATTTATTTCGATCTCATACATTTATAATTGCGTTCATTTTTACTTTAACAACTGTATCAATAAACTTGTAAAAGTTTAAGTTATCTCCCTTCAGCGAAGCATCTGAAATTTGACTGTGCCGGTACGCTTTGCAATCGGGCTGGGGAAATGTTGCGGCGAGGCGACTATCCTGGTCTTCTCGACGATCGGAAAAAGTCGGCACTATTGATGCAGATGTTTATCGGCGCTTTCTTGTCCCCTTCCCTTCCGAACACTCTCCAACCCCCCTCCCCCCTACCCCTCACCTCTACCCCTCACCACACCCTTACTCTTAAATGAGATGTAATGCATTTATTAACGAACCGTCTATGCACTGTAAACTGACCACTTCTGCACATTTTGTTAAAGACACTAGTCAGTAGTTGTTCATTTACCTGATGAACAGGGGCGGAACTACAGTCCCGCCAGACCCCGCAATGCGCGGGGAGGGGGGGGGGGCAGGCCGTTTAGGGGCCCACGGCTGACCAAAATTAATATTTTTTTTTAAATTTTGAATTAAATTTTTGCCTTAATATTTGGTTTGTAAAAGAAAAACACTGTAGCTGCGGTACGATTATCTTTATTTTACAGTCACTATACCACGCTCTTCCGCAAAAGATAAAATCCATTACACAAACTACAGTGTAAAATATAGGCAACTCTTCAAATTTGAATGACTTCTTTGACTCGTTGCCCCCCCCCTCCCTTTGATAGCTAAAAAGAGGACACGTAACTGTTTGACCGATCCTCCAAAGTGTACTGTGGCGGATGGGGCAGGGGATGGGGACCAAAAAGGGGGTTAAAAAATTGTCGACAAAATTTTTACATATTTAAAACAGTTATTTATAGTTGTATTTTTTAACCAACGTCAAGGCAGAGTTCTATTTCCCTACAATAAAACACACGCTGTCGCCGGCTAAATTCTTTTTTAAAAAAACAACAAAGTCCATAGCATGAAAAGCCGCTACATATGAAGTGGGCTTTCATGATGCGTGGTTCTTATTTGCGGCATTGGTAGGGGACCCGAAATCCATTGTACATTTTTTAATGTTAATATGTGTTTGTGATAGTGGTTGAATTTGTATCCTGTACTATCTTGTATTCTACAAATAATAAAAAAAAAATAATATAATACTATAAACTTCAGTTTTATATACGTTTACTTGTTTTTGCTTTTACAAGAAATATCATAGTAAACTTTTAAGGCCTATACTTCAAATTATCTCCCCTGAGTAAGTTTTACAATGGGCGGTGCTGACGTACATAGATCAAGGCGTTTTGTTGTCCCTTTGAAGTTTTTTTCCCGAGCCGACCCCTATCCCATCCCTCTTTCTCAACCTCACAAGTATCGAGGAGATAAATGTATCGTTTATGAACTACTTCCCAACCGTACGATTCACCACTTCAGCACATTTTGTCAGACACTATACAGCACTAGATCTAATCAACAGATATTAATTTACTTTAATAGTATTAGGCACATTTAATTCCAATAACAGGGCAGGTAAGATTATTTTTTATATAATTATTAAGAAATTAATTAGAACGTGTAGAATTAATTGAACATTATTAATAGTCATTAATGTGGGGGTGTGTGAGGGTCTGGCTTTTTGTTAGTCCCCCCCCCTCCCCTAAATCAGAAGGTTATCCAACGCGTGACCTGGCCACATACAGTCATAGGCCTAACATTTGTACATATTTGAGTGGGGACTCCTAACGGAAATATGTGATTTAGCGCCCCGTGATCCTGCATAAGCGGACGGACGAGGTTACTACTTGAATACAACCGGCGTCAGTGTCATCCTGAGCGCATCACATATGAGCAAGTTGGCCCCCACAGACAGTCGTTTAAAAGTTCCCACAACACTAGGAATAAGTCTCGCTACAACACTCGATGACTAAATCTAATTAGGAGTCGCACCAATGTTTCTTCCAGGGTAGACTGTTTTCGAGGGAGGGGAGGGGGGGGGAGCTCTGCCGGAAGAAACAATGTGTCGCACCCATCACCCGTGCAGTAATGTAGCCGGTAGCTCCAAGAGCCCCGTGACTCCCCTGACACCTGGGCCGTCGCCGAGGGATTTACAGCATGCCTTGGCGTGTCTAGTTGGTAGTGTGGACCAACCCGCGCCCTAAGATCCAATAAATGAACTGCCGACATTGTTAACATTTAATTCAACTTCTGGAAAACAGAGCACACGGTTAGTAACATTTTGATGAAAGCCTCAGTTTGGTGTGTTGGACTAGATTTAGAAAGGGGCCAGCTTGTGTGTTAGAAAACCTCTGATTAATTCGTGTACCAGATGGAATTTTTTTTTTTAAATTGAGAGCGAACCTTGTTTTATATATATATATATATATATATATATATATATATATATATATATATATATATATATATATATATATATATATATATATATATATATATAGGGCCCAAAAAAAATTCTGCGGGGGGGGGGGGGGGGGCCTTTTTTTTCTAGTTCCGCCACTGATACACACGACATGTTGTTGTAATTAGATTTAATTGAATTTTTTTTTTCAAAACCCGATTAGGCCAGAAATGAGTATCCTATGTTCGTATTGTGATTATATATATATATATATATATATATATATATATATATATATATATATATATATATATATATATATATATATATATATATATATATATATATATACATACATATATGGGGGGCCCAATTTTTTTTTTTGCGGGGTGGCCCATTTTTTCTAATTCCGCCACTGGTCCTGTTTACACAAGGTACATCACATAGATATTAATATATAATGATCAGCCCATGGTAATTAATATTTAAACATATTACATTGTTATTCATTTATACAACACAATGAGCAAGATAAACAAAAGCTTATTCCGGCCAGTATTTATCCTCTTATCGTACTGCTTTTGTTAGTCCTTTTATCAGCCCAAGGCTGTAAACTAATAAATCATCACCCACCTAACATCACTGACCACCGGTCAGTGTAGCGACCACACTTGTCATGTCAGCAGCTAAATGTCACAATAATTTCCGCCCACCGTGTCGGAAACATTTTTCTCTAATACATGGCTCCGGACATTATCCATATTTTTATTTTTTGAACTTTGCCGTGAGACGTAAGGAACCTCGTACAACCTAGGTATAAGGACACACCACACATAAATCGGTGAGGTTAGGGTACAACAAGGTTTAAAGCATCTATCATCACAACCTCTCAGATCCAACTGTGACCTTCGTCTTCAACATTCATCGCTACACAACTCCTACCTCTACCTCACAACAAAACGCTTTTACTTGACCAGTCGCTTCCCATGCTACCCTCATTTACTCCGTACAGGAACATACACGTGAACACACTCGCTGTCACTCGACCAGT